AAAATCTTCAAATGAGTGCCTGTTTTCAAAGTTTCCCTAAATTTTTAAAAAAGTATATTGGTTGATCTTGTAAAATATTAAATACTCAAAATTTACCGTCTCGTACTTTGAAAATATCAGGTTATTTAGCCAATAAATACCTATATAAATTAAATAATAAAAAATAAACACTTTTTTCTACCCAAAATGGATGGAGAGATACATAAATAATGTTAAAAGAAAAAAAAGAAAGAAGAAAAAAGTTGACCCATCTGAGGTTTGAACCCATGGCCCTCAGTTTCAATGTAGTTAACAGTAGTTCTAGCCTATTTGAATACTCTTCAAAGCGGAGGTCAGGCATTAGAATGGTAATACCTTAAAACATTATTTTCAGCTTCACATTGTTATGGTTTATTTATGATGGGTTTTGGTGGAATAATTTGAAGACTTAATGAGACTTACATTAAGATTATTTGAATCCTGATCAATAGTTTATCAACTACAATCACTTTTAGGATCAGAGATAGAGAAAGGAATCTGGCTTATCAGTAACACTGGTGGGTCTTTAAGATCATCACTACAGAATGTAAAAACTTAAGACATGATCTAGAGATGAAAATGCATAAATGGCCAATTGGTTCAGATTGTGTTACTTGGTGGATGTGTGATCTAAAAAGTGATTGAGATTCATTAAATAGTTCAGTGCAAGCTCTGCAGATCAACATCTGTGGCCTAGTGGTTATGGTTGTTGACTTCAAACCACTTTCCTCTCACTGCTGTGGGTTCAAATCCTGAAATGGACTTTCAATTTAAATATGCCTACTGATGTACAATTTTAAACAAATGCGACTTCAAATGTCAACAGGTTGGCATTTTGTACATTCGGTTTCTACAACCATAATAATAAATATACAAATAATGTATTGTTTGCTTTTTGTATCTATGAATTCACTTATTTTAGGTGAGCATTTACTTGATATATTGAAAAAAAAACAACTTGTCAACAACTCCCAGCATCAAATTACATTTGTTTACATGTCTAGTTTGTTAGCGTAGGTTAGACCGAAATACTGTATCCGTTCTGTGTAGTTCGAGGTCCTTATCCGAAGACTGACGGAAAGGGCCGAGTAGTTGCGATTGGCTGATTGATAAGGAAGAGACTCGTGAACACTATTGAAGAGTTGAAAATGAACAATTGACACTCAAGTCTGTGATAAATCAAAACAAACAAAAAACAGTGATTTCTTTCATAAGCAGAGTACAAATTAAACACCATTGTCTCCCAACAATTCTTAATATTTATTCATTTTTATCCTACTGTATGTGTTTTATTGTAGATAGTGAAACTTATTTTAAACAAAGTTTTTTTTACAAACATATGTATTATTTATGAATTTCATTTGTAACCAATATGTATTGCAAAAAATGAAGAAAAACATTGCTATATAGCATCAATATCAGGAAGCTTTAAATCAGCTTGATCAAATTTAACAAATTGATATAATTGAGAGATATTTTTATGCTCCCCGAAGGGTGAGCATATTTTTGCCGTTTTTTCCGTCCGTCCGAGCATTCCAACATTTTGGGTTTAGGGGTTTTTTTCTTTGTTATTTTCTTTGTTTTCTTAAGGGCTACTAGCCTATAAACCCTTTGATCACGGAATGAACCTATTGTTCTCTTTTGTTCTCTTTACTGTTATATAGCCCCTAAACCCAAAATGTTTGCTCGTACAAACCCAGCGGTACATGTATGACTTGGAGAACAATGTATAGGTATGGGTATATTTTCTTTGATCCTATTCATTCCGTTTTTACTTGTGTGTCTTTTTAGACACTAAGTGACTAAAATGAATGTAAAGATCAAAGGAAAAGTCACAGAACCATTTCGTAAGTCTGCCCGTCCATCCGCCCGTCCCCTTTTCTTGTCCGGGAAATAAGTTTGAAACAGCAAGCCTTATCAATATGAAACATTGTAGGTAGAGAGATCTACGACATTGAGTATACGTGCAGTGGAAAAGAACCGTAACTCTGCCTTGCCTAATTTTGGAGCTATTGCCCCTTTTTAGCTCACCTGAGCACAAAGTGCTAAATGTATGTTTACTTGTGGAGGATTTTGGAAATTCCGTTGGCATAAAATATGTTGACCTTGCAATTTTAAGGTTATTTTTCACGTTTAATAACTCATTTATGTAAATGAAGATATACTGGTCAATATTGTTAACGGTTACTGAAAGATAAATCTATCATGCTATATGTTTGCATGTTTAAGTATGTAAATATGTATTATTTTAAAAATGCGACAGCAAAAATGTTGACCATGTCGGAGGAATACGCTACGGCGAGTTATATACCTTGTATATATTTGTAGTAAATGGGTGCTGGACAGTAATTTTTGTTCTTGATGATCATGGGTTGATTACTTTATGCTAATTTGACCACTATAGGCATGGCAAATGCGCCGAACGCCTGCAGTTTTACTCAGAATAATTATTTAATAGTACAGAAAAAAGACACTATTGATGATCTTATTTTTATTTCAAAATCTTACTTCATCACACAAGAAACAAAATATAAAAATTTCAATTTTGTTAGTATGGGTAATGAAAGAAATATATCTAGTTCAAAATCATACAAACAAAATCGCACCAACATTCATGTACTTTTACTTCGCTGATTTCTGTTTGTAAGTTAAACAGAATCAAACAAAAAACAAAAACAAACAACAACAAATAATATAAACAATACTTATAACCATAATGCTAAATAATTTGAACAGAACATCGAAACAAAATAAGACAACTTGCAAATCAAAAGAAGCACTTTCAATCCGTACTTTTACATACAAGCCAAATCCCAGACATGTTTATGGCTCCCTAACAAAAATAACTTGGCTTAAATGTCTACAATATCAAGACGATGTTTTCCGTCCAAAAATCAAGTCCCTACCTCAAAGGTCAAGGTCACACTAGCATATTGAAGTTCACTTTATCACAATTAGAGTTTATAGGTACACACATTCGTTTCCGGGCTGTAACTTTGTCATGCATCGAATTATTTTAAAATAACTAGGCATAAATGTCTACCACATCAAGACGATGTGTCGCGTTCAAGAATTACGTCTTACCTCAAAGGTCAAGGTCACACTTACATTTTGAAGTTTCGATTTATCACAATTAGAATCAAAAGGAACACACAATCGTGTCCGGGCTGTAACTTTGTCATGCATGCAAGTATTTTAAAATAACTTGGCATAAATGTCTACAATATCAAGACAATGTGCCGCGTTCAATAATCACGTCCCTACCTCAAAGGTCAAGGTCACACTACCATTTTGAAGTTAACATTTAAAAGGATTTTAAAATAACTTGGCACAAATGTCTACCACATCAAGACAATGTGTTGCGGCTAAAGCTCATGTCCGTCTGTCCGTGTGTCCCCACTTACACAACAATCATGTCCAGACTGTAACTTTGTCATTCATTGGGGGATTTTGAAATAATTTTGCACAAATGTCTATCTCATAACAACATTTTGTCGCGTCCAGTAACCATGTTATTTTTTCAAAGTACAAGGTCACACTTATATTTTGAAGGTTTATGCTATCACGTGAACCTCATATTGAATAAAAATTGTTGGACAAAAGTCAGATAGGTCAATCTATTATACAATAATTGTGTATGGAGACACATCTGATAATGTATACAGTGTATATTTCACTTTCAACATGATCGTGAGGAGAAAATGTACTCATATCAGTTTAAAAGCATGTATTGGGGGTGTCTGTGGCCCAGTGGTTTAGGTAAATGTTAACTCCAAGCCACTTGCCTCTCACAGCTTTTGGTTCGAATCACGATAGGGACTTTGGATTATTTTGTGTAAGGAAGTTATCCAGCTAGTTGTTCTGCTGAGTTCTTCCTACACCAGTAAAGCTTGAATGTCGCCATATAACCTATACATTGGTGTGATGTAAAACTGAACCTAAAATAGTAATCAGACTGTCAATCCAAAAGTTGAATGACTTACACACTGAAAAGTACACAATCATGCCAGATATGTGCGCAAAACGACAATTATTGGTACTAAGTAATGAGGGATATGAATTATAGTTCAAGTATAGTTTAGTTGTTCATATCGTCAGCATTATCCAGTTCAATGGTTTTTTATCCCCGTCATGGCCCTTTAATAATTTTCATGTTTAAAGTTTGTCTGAACTACTCCTTTTATACAACTAAAGCAATTTCAATGAAACTTTACAGGATTGATCAAGTCCTTGCATATTTTGCACGGGTTTTACTAGTTGAATGATTTTGGCCGAGTTAAGGCCTTTAAAAAAAAATGTGTTTTTTGTGTGTTGCCAGATACACAAAAGCTTGTCTGGACTACTTCGCAAAAACTACTGGTGTAATTCCATCTTAATTTTACAGGAATGATCAGTACCAAGTCTAGTTGTGCATGTCATTGATTTTTTATGGTTTGTTTGAATTTTGTCTGAGTAATGGCCCCTAAATTATTTTGATTTTTTCATAGTTTCATCAGACTACTCCTCTTATACCACTGATGCCATTTCAATGGAAATTTTACAGGATTGATTGGTAGGTCAAGTACCTGCACATATTACACAGGCTTTCTGCTTGAATGATTTTTTGGCTCAGTTATGGCCCTTGAATGAAAAGGGTGTTAATAAAGTTGTCCAGACTACTCCTCTTATACCATTTATGCAATTTCAGTGAAACTTTACAGGATTGATTGGTAGGTCAAGTACTTGTGCATTATAATACACATGTTTTTACGCATGAATGATTTTCAGCTGAGTTCTTGGCCTTGAATGAAAAATGTATTTTGCCCAATTAATGATTTTTGGGCTTCCTACTACACAGTAGTTGCAACATGTGATTGGCTATCATGAGGCGACATGTCATCACTGATGGTCCTTGTTTATCTAACATTTATATTTTGTCAACACTGTACCTACACAGCCACTTTAACCAGTATAGTATTCTTATGTTTTAACTCATTTATTTTTAACAACAAGCATTTGTTACTGACTTTTATTGATGTAATCTGTTTAAATATAAGCGTTTAACAAATAAATTAAAGTAACAGGACAAGCATTGTAGCATAAAATATAAACCATGCATTTAATGATTACAAAAGAAAACTCACCAGTTTTATCATATTGTAAGGTAAAATAGAGCATAAAATGTTTTTATTCATATAACGTAGGACAATCAATTTATCAATGTAAACAAAGTTGACATTTTTAGCTTAACTATTTTGAAGACAATTCGAGCTATTATGATTGCTGTTAAGGCATAGTTGATAGACTGGGCATAATAAGAAGGGCTTTTTATTCTGAAAGCAATATTTTGGGAGTTATTCCCCTTTTTTACTTTTGTCACAATTGCTTATTAAGTTAGAATGTTTTAAAAACTGTGAACAGTGTCAACATGTAACTAAAATGTACACTTGATTATCATGACAATTCACAGTTGTATAACCAGGGACATTATCCTGAAATCAAATTTTTTAGGAATTATGTCCCTTGGTTATTGATAGCTGTTGCCTTGAACACGAGTTAATAATGCTTGAGGTGCTCTTGTTATTCCATGTATTCCCAGCAAAACTGGTATTATAGTTTCCTTGTTTCTCACCAAACCATTTGGAAGAATACAACAAAGGATATCTTAAATCATTCTCACGAACATAAGATTTAAAACAGTAAGAAAAAGTAAAACATGTGTCTTGCTAAATTTACAGAAGAATGGATAATGCAAGTGTTTTTTACTATTTAAGAACTGCTGACATTGTTAGATGTAATTCAACTAAGTTTATGTTCAAGTCTAAGACTATGACAGGTTATAGATGTGAAGGAAGTTGTTAAATTTTTCATTCCCAGTATTGCAGCTGTAATATAGCTTCTTTGTTTCACCACACCAACATAAAGCCATTGGTCCCTTCAGATCCTGCAGCACCACCTTTCCTGTACAACAATCTCCTGATATCTCTTCTATAACATTTTTCTCCCGGTCACACACAAAGACAGTACCATCATCTGATAGTGACATTCCTCTAGGGGAACTCATTCCACTATAACTACCAATCACATCACCTTGCCAGGTTAATCTTGTTACTGTTTTTTACCCCTGTCAGATACATAGATGGAACTTCTGTTACATGTGATAAAGTGTGGCCATTTGCAAAAAAAAATTTTTTCATCAATTGTTGTCAGTATAGTGCCATTCATATCAAGGATCTGAAGTTTTGCAGGATAAATGAATGACACGAGAAGTTTACCTTGGTAACAGCTTATACCATCACATTGTCCACCAACCTTCACAGTGTGCCTCTTTATGAGTTTGTTTGATGAGATTGATATAAACTGGATTGTCTGTATTTTAGGAAGTGTGACAGCAAGTTCAGTACTGGTTACTCTGGTGATATCCCATGGTCTGTCATCTAGTTGTAGTTGATCAGACACAGATTGACTGCTTGTATCCACCATCTTAACAGCATTGTTATTGCCGTCAGTGATGATAAGAAGATCAGGAGTCAGCAGAGTCATACCTGTTATATAGCATCTTGATTCATCTTTTGATGTCTTCACACAGATTTTTCCCTCATGTGAAGATTGTCTAGACTTTATTTGTCCAGGTTGACATTCCTTATTTAAGGTTTTGTGTGTCAATGTACCCAGTGATTTCTCTGTTCTAAACAAATTTAATATTACATCATTTGATTGAAAGTTGTGCTCTTTGATATCATTTGATGAGAGTTTTAGTAGCTTTCCATCCATATTTTTGATTGTTTTCTCTGCAAGTTTTAAATCGATGAAGAGTTTGTCAGCTTGTTTTGTTGTGTTGAGTTGCTTGATTTTGTCTGATGATATATTCAAAGATTTGGTAACTTCTTCACATGTTGTTTCTACTGATTTCAGATGTTTGTTATTTTCTTGTTCTATGACTTTAACTGCATCTTCAATCTGCCTCTCAAGTTCATCTAGTCTTTGGTTGATTTCTTCCCGAAACTTTTTAATGTCAACTAATGCATCTTTGAGAGAGCTGTTTGATTTGTGTGTCATGTTCTTGATATCTAATAATATCTGTTGAAATTTGTCAGAAGTGGTTTTAACTGCATTCAAGATAACTTGATATTCTTTGCTATCTATTATATCACCAGAAATGTCTGGTATATAGTTGACTTTGCAGGAAGTAGCTTGATGTTCAAGGGTAACACAAACACTGCAGAGAAATTCTGTATGATCATTGCAGTAGAACTTGATCATTTCTTTTGGATGTTTAAGACATGGTGTGGTTAGGGCATCAGACAGGCCTGCGTGGGTGACTGTTGAGGGTTGCTGCAAAACTTTCGGCATATTTGTTGCATCCATAAGTGTATGCATTTTGGTAAACTTGTTTATCTTATGGGCTTTAAAGCATGTCTTGCAAAGGTGCTCCTTGCAGTCAGTGCAGTAACCATGGGCAGGGAGTCTAGTTCCTTCCTCGTCACAAGGCTGACAGTAAATTTGAAGATCTTCATCTGATGCCATTGATGTTGAAAATTGTTTTGATGCTTTCTTTCCTGGGACTGCCATGTTTTACCTAAAATGAGTATTGCATGATTTCAAAAATGTCCTTTAGTAAATACATAAAACTAAAGATTTATAGATGATTTGAAAAAAATGGCAGTCTTATTAATATGACATTTTTGTGGTAAAAAGTTATGTTGGCAAAATATTCAAGCAAATATACATTGTTGTGATGTTCAATGCAAATACATTTACAGCAAACAGTCCCAAAGTGTTTTGACATTTCATATTCGGATCAGAAATGTTTTCATATCGGTAAAAAGGACAAAAATTTCAAAGAAAACTGCTTTTTATCATGAATCCATGTAGATGTCTTGCCAAAATGGTTTTCATCTAATAACTTGACAAGCAACGAGCCCTTGGTACTGGAACTAATCATAGAAGCATTGGTCGCGGGTGCTTCATGAAAGCTTTTGATTTTTGGGTAAAAATCTAAAGGGTCAAGGCGACATTGACCTTTTATGCCAAAACTGTTTCCAACCAATAACTCTACAAGACATAGGCCCCAACCGTAACCCTGCCTTGCCTAATTTTGAGTTATTGCCCCTTTCAAAATATTTTACACTGTGATCTTTGTCCAGGACATCTCTTTCACTACAAGAGATATCAACAAGAAACTACTTCTCTGTGACAAAAACTGATTTGGTGAGCATATGATTCACTCAGTTCATCCGGCTCTTGTTAACTTATAACTGTACACATGACGCTTCAAAGTAATTTTAATATTTAGATATTAAGAATAAACAATGCTTTATTTTATTTTAAAGTATCCACCCATGAAGAACATATGTACAGAATAACAAATTATACAATGTTATAACATGAACAATTTTAAGCTCCTCTTTTCAAAGAAAAAAGTGGAGTTATTGTCTTGACCCTCTCATCAGCATTCACACTTTGACATTAGTTAACCTTTTTGTTAATTAAGGTCCTTTATCTCAGTAAATATAATAGCTATTCACTTCAAACCTTGGTGTAATTGTTAATTGTCATGAAAGGACACCATTAATTTTAAAAAGGGCAGATAATTCTAAAATTATTTTATAACTATTAAAAATGTATTATTTTTAAACTTGAAATTCTTGTAGACTATCAAGGGCAGGTAAGTCTGCTAATCACATTTGCAGAATAATATTCCTTTCTTCTCTATATGCTGATTTAATTGATCTATATTACAAAGCAATGAGAAAAATGCACTCTGTCCACGGACAAGTCTTGTTACAAATATAAATATAACTAAAAGGCATGTAAAATAACCCAGTCCAGAAATTTTTCAATATCATGACTTTGTGTAGATCTATCAACAAATATATGTATATTTAAATTCCCCTTTTTATTAAAAAGCATAATAAAAAAGATCCATAGTTGCCTTGTAGATAATAAAATATTTAATAAAAATATTGTACCTTCAAATCGTAATTCTCAAATTGTCTCACAGGTGTCAAATGTAAATGTTTTAATTGTTGTTGATACGTGGACTTTGATATTGGTATTTACTTCCTTGTTTTGCAACGGAAAGTTACAAGTTCAAACCGGAAAGATCAATTATTTATTTAGTATATACAGGTGCCTTCTGTGCGAGATATTGTTAAAATTAAATTTAAATGTTATGATTTGTTGTGAGTAAGATTTCTCAACTTGTATTTAAGGTATTACCACCCTAACAGGCACTATAAGGAACTGAAAAAATTATATCATAGGTCAGATATATAGACGGGTTTGATTTTCAGAAAAGACCCTCCGTTAAGAGTCTAACGGCATTTTTTAGTACAAGCAGGTAGTCAATCGTTTTTACATAATTCAGGTACGCTGAATCCATTTTTTGCTCTACCACGGCTGTACTCGAAGTCCTTGACCTTCTTAAGGTCAAATCAAAATGGCCGCCATTGTCCTTTAACCATCTACTTAAAAAAATTATTTCTGGTACATCGTATCGTATGTCTGTTAATCTACATGGAATAAAGTTTCAATTACGTTTAGGAATAACTGGCTGATAATTATACATGCTTTACACATTGACTGCTGTGTCGGCCATCTTTGATTTCAAAATGGACACCTTTTTAACAAATATAAGTAAAGTGCTTTTAAACAAATGGATCCTTCTGTAGGCATAAGTATAAAAAATTGTAAAATGATATAAGCAACATGTCATGTCGAATTGTACACACTGTGTAGGTATTCTGCACACTTTAATTTACATCATTACTTAATTCAAACTATCACAGGTCATTCCTTTTGGACAATTAATCAATATCATGTATGTATCTGAGATCCCAAATGTCTTACATAAAACCTGCAAATTTTAATTTACCATTAGATGTTTAAGTCTTTTTTTTATTTTGATAGAATAGCATTTGTGTAAACCTTTATGGTCTCTAGGTCATTTTATAATTTGAATGCCAAGAGTCAAGGTCAGTATGTAAATATTTTAAATATTGCCTGTCATCTTCACAGGTCAGCGACTATGTCTCTGGGCCCGCATGTTTTTGCAACAATATCTATTGTACGACCCGATTTAAAATAGAAAACAACAAAATCACTTAAAACGATCAAAACGGCAAAATTAAAATGTTTTAGGCTAGATTTGATTGAGCCTGTACATGGACGTTACTTAAAATTGCAAGGTACCGTCCAAGCACCCTAGCACCGGCCTACGCAAAATTCATATATCAAAGGGGGAATTGCGAAATTTGGAATTTATAGAAATATCCGCAGATTTGTTTATACGATATTTTTTATTGTTGTATTGATATAGCTACTTTATATAGGGTCGTATTTATCAATCAAACTTTAAACATGCCTAGGCATGGTTAAAAACAGATCATCTATTTATTAATTGAAATAAACTCAAATAAATGGTAAAGTCATTTTAATCTTTATTACCTTTCACTTTGAAAAAAAGTATCGCAAACATGAACCATAAATAGTCTACGAGCATGCACTGTCTTACGGTTAATGAATAATATAGAGTAAAACATTATAGGTCTACCACGGGTATTTGATGATGGTACATGCATAGAAGATTAGACAGATAATTGATACAAATTCTGCAATTAATATATTGACGATTCACTGCTGTTTACCGTTTTTTTATTAACACAAAATAATTTTATAGAGCATTTTGGGTTTTTGCTACTAAATCTTGTAACATATGCCGTCGAAGCCTATGTCTTTAAATTTTATTAACTTAACTAATAATACGAGATTTTATGCGTTTTGTCTTAATTCATTGATATTTATTCATTCATTGTCTTAGTTAATATCAACGTCTTCATTATAATTATGTCACTGCCATGGACGCTGCGCCTTATTCTATCTCATGTTTTAAAATCATTCAAGTGACTAAGATATTTTCAAATCTTCATACTTATTATGTTCTTGTATTGGCTATCTTTCAAGAAATTGATGAGTATCTTATTCCATTATGATATAACATAATTTGATGTCATTTGCCACATTATAATTATTTAATCCATATTTTTTCTACCATCACTCCATAATATTACTTTGGTATTTCTTAGTGTAATTTAAGTCACTAAAATGTGTACCAACTATTTTTGCACTATCCTGACAATTATGTAAAACAAAGATAATCAAGGGGTGCCACTTTCCTTGTTTTCCATTTTTTACATTGAAGGCATGGTTACTGTAGTCTTACAAGTTTTACAAACATTAGAAACATTAAGAAGCATTTATTTGTATCTTCCGTAAACCTTATTTTTTTTTAAAATGCATCCATGATTAAATGACAAAGATACAGACACAACCATCAATGTTCTAAATTGACCTATCTAGCTATCAACCTAATGTTTAAGCATAACAAGTAGTCCTAATGTGCCACAAATTTATGCCCAGTTATGCCAATTGATATCCATCTAATAATTGACAGAATTCATGACCGGACATGACCTTTAATGTCTGAATCTTACTTTATGCGACAATTCTTTTCTCACTCAAGACAAATTGTTTCAAAGTACCACGTATTTATTCTAAGCTCTCACTGAATAACACATATATGGACTGGACTAACCACAAATGCACTCTCATACCATGACTTTTGAAATACAAGTGTGACCTTGGAACATTTGTTCGCTACATGTCGTTTTACAAAGAGGCACTATATTTATCCCAAATGATTTTTAATTCATCCATGAATGACAAACTCGTTAACCAGACTTTTTAGACACTTTAAGGAAATATTTTGTTCGAAGTGAAATTATGATTTTGATCTTTGATTTACATCATCAGATGGGTTTACATTTGACTCATTGTCCCAATGTGCCATATATTTATGCAGAATTATTATTTCAAAAGGCATCACTGAATGAGAAAGTTATAGATCGGACACAACCACCTTGTTACGTTTATATCATGATTTATGATATAGAAGTTTAACTGTAGACATACCCTGCTTGTGCATGACACGACCTTTTCAAATTACACATTTACGCAGTTATTGTCGGTCCAGGACGGCGGCATATACCATTGTTGGCGACGCCGGTGAGCGGCGTCGTCTTATATGGAATGCTTTTTATTTTTGCCTATGGAAGGAGCTGTTATTATTAGCAGTTAATTTCATGTTGAGTTAATTAGATTTATTTTGATTCGTAAAAATCAAGTAAACAAATATGTTGTTATATTTGTATTTAATAACTTTATTTAAAAGCATGTGCATTGTGATATTATTTTCACGAAATTGCAGGCTCAGTTTAACAGCTTGTCCCTTAGTTTTATTGACAATACTAAAACCCGGATTTCGAATATCGTTGTGGTCTACATTGATTCCGTATATATTCGTTCATTCATTTATATATTTTCAAAATTTTCTTACAAGAAGAAAGTTCACCTGCAAATGAGTATAAGGATAGGTAATGGACTGTTGTTAACGATTATCCTATTGATTTTATCCATATTACGTTGATCTGTTGCACAGAATGATTGTTTTTACAAAGTGTACCAGTATCCGGATGTTGAAAGCTATCCGATTTTCTGCAGTAACTGCTGTCACATGGTCATCTATTTTTTTTTATGAATACTTTACCATTAATTTGCGTGGCTTAATAAAACTGACTGAGCCTGCAACATTTCGTAATTTTAATGTTTAGGGTGTTCTTTTGGGTTTCAGGTTTTCTCTATTTTAAGGGGAAGTAACTCATGTTTACTAAATTATTTGTTCTTTTCTGCCTACTCTATCTTTAGTATTACTTACTATTTTTTGTTTTTTATAAAATTTACCAGTTGTAAGGTCATCAAAAGCAGAGAGGCCCTGATGAGTGAATATTGATAGATATTTTTACTGGCTTTATATACCCTAGACCAGATTTTTCTAGTTTGTTCAGTTCGTACATACCTGTAGATAGGTATTCTGCTAGAGGCATCTTCTAATCACTATGTGAAATTATTATTTTCTATGTGTTTGTATATGAATTGTTACTAAAATAACCTTTGGTAAAAATGAAAGGTAGAATATTTAAGCTATACATATAGGTGCTCATTTTAAACACTTGATTACATTATATATGCAGTTAGTTATACATTGTATAGTAAAGTCTAATGGAAGGTTAAAAGAGGGACAGTATTTGTTACTGTAAGAGATATGCATTTAATGTTTAGACACTAACACAACTTAATCTGTAACACATGATATAGACTATTTGAGATTTTTTTTTACTTTTATACTATACAATATCATGTACATATAGTTTTCTTTCTACAAGATTATGAATTCCTGTTAATAGGATGTTATATTTATTTTTAATGGAACCTGAGAATTATTAATGTAATGTGCATACAAGTGTATCATAGTATATGGATATAATGTGTATTTCTGTATTTAAAGACTTACAGTTATGATGGATGAGACTTGCATTTAAATTTATAAATGATAATACATGTATTGATCAGTCTACAGGTTATAGTTGTTTATACCCAGTGTTAGCTGGCTAATAATAGTATCTATAACAGAGTTTATATATTCTACTAGATTTTGAATTCCATCCATTAGTACCAATGTTAATGTTAGGATTTCATATTTAGAAACTGGGAATTATTAATGTTATGTGCATACACGTATATCTTAGTATATTGATATGACGAGACTATAATATTTCTGAATTTAAAGAGTTACAGTTATTTCATTATTATTAAAGGGATGAGACTTTCATTTAAAGTTATAAATGATAATACATGTATTGATTGAAAATGTCCTGAAACTTGGATCAAGCAATATAATTGATAAAGTCTCAAAAAATCATATTTTGAATGGTTATTCTAATTTTTTTCTAACATGTGCATAGATTGAAAAGGACAGCTTCTGTCTTATCTATTTATAATGGAGGGACACGGTCTCAATTTCCAAGCTTAGGTCTCCTGAGTCAACCCGACAACAGACTTTTCATAGAGTAAATTGTTACTTGCCCTTGAATAAATTTGTACACTAAATTTTATAGCGGGTGATTTTTGCCACATGAAAACCAACAAGTACAAAAAAGTAACCGGGCGCCAGACAGAAAGTGGTGTGTTTGTTGCAT